TTGAAATGAATTTTCCAAGTCCTTCACGTGTTTGACACTTGGACACTTGATGATAGCCAGTAACAAAAATACCCGACACATCAAAAATTATGGTGTCGTACTTCCATCTACAAACAAAGTATAATCGATGCCATCAAATGAAGGAGAAACTAATGCGACTGATGGTTCGTTGTATGCAATACAAGAATTCATGTTACCTATGAACGTTTGTGTAGACTGTTGAGAGAGTTATTTTACTCCTTTGTTGTTTAGTCCCACATTGGTTAGGGACAAACTCTTTTGTATCCCTAAACACTATAAATAACATCCAAGAGAGCCAATAAGAGCTCTTGAGGGTTTAACATTAACATGGTATCAGAGCCACCCTTTCTCCTCTCTCTAATTTTCTAAACCCTAACCGCCACCCACTCAAACCCTAGCCTGTGAGTGGGACCCACCCACGTTGTGGGTTGCTTTGTTTCACGTGGGTTACTTTGTTGTGTGTTGTTTTTTGTGAATTGTTCAGCGGACAATTGTGCTGGCCCACCCGATTGACTCAATTGATAGATATATATAGATAGCTATTCGATGCTTAGGGTTTTGGGCAAGTACCAGGAGAGGAGGAAATTTGTGCGGCTGCGCAATTTTTCTTGGGCTTCGTGCAGAGGAGAAAAATCCTATTTGGTGGCTGTTTTTTGTGAGATATTAGAGAGTTAGTTTGAGGGTTTATTTTGTGAGATTGTAAACCTATTTGTATTCTTTTCCTCTCTCTATTAGTAGATCCCCCTCCTTGCCCCGTGGACGTAGGCAGTTTGCCGAACCACGTAAAATTGATTGTTTGAGTTTGTGGCCATTGTAATAGTTTTTAGGATCCCTCGACGCGCAGTCCTAGAGCTGACGAGAGGAAGAGCTAATATCCCACTTTGATGAGATATTAGGCTTCAGATTCTTGTTCCCTTTGAGAAACAAGAATTCTTATCGATGTTTCTCTCTTATTGTGCACCAGAAACTCTGCCAAAATTTTCGCTGCGCACAACAAATGGTATCAGAGCTCGGGCTACGCTTGGGCTATTTGGGGGAGTAGATCAATTTGGAGGCTCGTCTAGGGCTTCGTTTGGTGATAAAGGTGGGATCTTTTGGTAAAGACTCTATCTTTTCAGTTTTTGGATTTATTCTTTGTTTGTTGGTGCGTAAGATGTCGGGGAAAGAAGGTGCTTCGGGTGTCGAGGGTGGTGCTTCTGGCGCGAAGACCATTCAGAATTTGAATATCCACTCTATGAAGATAGATGTGGAGAAATTTAATGGCACAAACAACTTTGGATTATGGAGATGCGAGGTTTTGGATACGCTGAACGCGCAGAATTTGGAGAATACATTGGAGTTAGATGGCAAGCCAGATGAGATTGAAGAGAAGATTTGGAAGAAGATGAATCGAACGGCGTGTGGTGTGATTAGGTCTTGTTTGACTCAAGATCTAAAATATGATGTGATGAATGAGACTTCTGCAAAGAAGATTTGGGAGATTCTCGAAGGCAAGTATCCGACAAAGAGTGTTGAGAACCGCTTGCATTTGAAGAGGAGACTTTATCGTTTCCAGTTGAAGAAGGGAACCTCCATTAGAGATCACATGAACCACTACACAAAGCTTCTTGCGGATTTGGCAAATGTGGATGTCATAATTGAAGATGAGGACAAGTCGTTGTTGTTGTTGAGTTCCTTGCCCGACGAGGAATATGAGACATTCGTCCTTACTTTAATTAATGGGAAGGCATCTCTTTCGTATAGTGAGGTCACTGCTGCACTGGTGAATTATCAGCTTCGGAAGAAGGATAAGGAGACTTCGACTGAGTCGGTAGCAGATGCGTTGGTCGCAAGAAGGAAGAATCCGAACCGGAAGAAGTGGAAGTCACAGTTTAGAGTAGGGCATCCTACAATTGGAAAAGATCAGTGTGCTTGGTGCAAGAAGACTGGTCATTGGAAGAAAGACTGTCCAAATCTCGATGAATGGATAAAGAATAAGCAGAAGAGAAAAGGAAAGCAACCATCATCAGAAGCAAACATCGTATCGGATGGTAATAATTCTGACTCTTCTATTTATTCGCTTTCTATCAGTCCTACAGATAGCTATTCGGAGAAATCTGAATGGATGTTGGATAGTGGTGCGACCTATCATGTGTGCCCTAGAAGGGAATGGTTCTCCAGTTTTGAGAAGCTGGTGGATAGTGGTGTGGTGTATATGGCTGATAACCGTGCATGCCAGATCATTGGGATAGGAAGAATTCGCATAAAGATGTTTGACGGGACTGTTAGAGAGTTAAATGATGTGAGATATGTTCCTTCTTTAAGGAAGAACTTGATCTCGATTGGAGCTTTGGTTGGAGAAGGTCTGAAGGTTCGTGTTGAGGACATGGTTCTCGAGATTGCGAGAGACTCTCGTATTTTGATGAAAGGCGTCAGGAGAAATAACCTGTATTACTTGACTGGAGGTATAGTGGCAGGTGGAGAGCTGACGACTTATGTTGATTCGACTAGACTGCGGCATTTGGGGCTTGGCCATTCTAGTATTGATTCCCCGCATAGATTGAAAGAGGGTGTGAAGACCTGCAGTTTGAAGTCCAGTGAACATGTTGATGTGAGTAAGAAGACCAAGGTGAAGTGTGACACCTCTATTCACCGTGCTAAGGGTCGTTTTGGAGGAGTTCACGTGGATGTTTGGGGGCCTTCCAAGGAGGCATCATTGGGAGGTAATAGGTGTTTGGTTTCCTTTGTTGGTGGCTGTTTTAGGCATGTTTGGGTTGCAACCAAATCCCCTTTGGAGAAAGTCCTAGTAGTATCCAACAGATTGAAGAAGTGTGTGATAGACAGAAAGGTAAAGGTACTCCATTCTGGTGGGAGGTACAAGATGGACCTATTTCTGCATTGGAGCAAATCTCATGGTATTTCGAGACACTTCGTTGGAAATAAAATCTTGGGACAACTAGATAGGGTGACAAATTTAGAGAACCGTTCCTTGCTGGAGGAGGAGCGGTGTTTGTGGTCGAGCAATGGTTTGCAGAAGAGTTTCTGGACCGAGGCTTCGACATATTTGGGTCATCCTATTAAAGAGTTGTCAACTGCTGTGATTGGAGGTAAAACTCCATTGGAAGATAGGTCTGGTAGTGTCACTTTGGTTGAGGTTTCGATGAGGAAGCCAATTGACTCTCAGCAGGTGGAGAGTTTTGGACAGACCTTAGATGTATCGCAGCGGGTGAAGAGTGATGCTACTCCATATTGGGTGGAGATTACTCCACATACTCCAGGTCATTCTGCATTGGTTGGGATTCCAGCTGAGGTGACACAGCGTGGAAGTCATTTGGATTCGGATGCAGATGATGAGTTGGGTTTTGATTCGAGTGCAGCTGATAGATGTAGCTTGGATATGGTCATTGGTTCACCTCAGGTGGAGGTGTTTGAGGTCATTGGAGGCGCTATCAGCCGTAGAGTTGATGATATTGGAGAAGGGTTGCAAACTCTTCTATTGGATTGAGGTCGTTCGCGGCCATTTGGGTGAACTACGTTCGGCTTGATTCCTTGGACAAGAGGATACGTAGGCAGTCATTATGATGCAGCCGGGTTGGATTTTGATGGGGTGAGATCGATTTGGTGAGTAGACACTGTTGGTTTGGGTGAGTGTTCGCACTCTCGTTTGGATCTCGACTTGTTGTGGATTGAGTTCGTACTGGACACAACAAGTGTGACATTTAGATGCTTTGGTGTCGGCTCAGTTTTTTGAAAGAAACTTCGCCGAGGTGGAGAATTGTGAGTGGGACCCACCCACGTTGTGGGTTGCTTTGTTTCACGTGGGTTACTTTGTTGTGTGTTGTTTTTTCTATTTGAGGGTTTAGATTGTGAGAGTTGTAAACCCATTGTATTCTTTTTCTCCTCTATTAGTAGATCCCCCTCCTTGCCCCGTGGACGTAGGCAGTTTGCCGAACCACGTAAAATTAATTGTTTGAGTTTGTGGCCATTGTAATAGTTTTTAGGATCCCTCGACGCGCAGTCCTAGAGCTGACGAGAGGAAGAGCTAATATCCCACTTTGATGAGATATTAGGCTTCAGATTCTTGTTCCCTTTGAGAAACAAGAATTCTTATCGATGTTTCTCTCTTATTGTGCACCAGAAACTCTGCCAAAATTTCCGCTGCGCACAACATAGCCGCCACCTTCTACCCCTCTCAAACCCTAGCCGCCACCCTCCCAAACCTTGCCACATAGGCTAAGCGCAATAAAAGAGTTCCAGACAACTATGTAAAGAGTTCCAAAAACCCTGTTAATTATTCATTATTTCTTTTCTTTCCCAAGTTGAAATCATATTAACAGGACACAGAAGACTTTGTATCATTGGTTTGGAAATGATAATATCTTTAAGCTTATACTGCAGATACTTATGGGGGTTTAGTTTGCAATTGGGTAGTTTCGATCTCTTATGTTCATCTCATCTCCTCACATGTTTTTGGAGACCTTGAAATTCTACAAATTTACGAAGCTTCCGTTCCAATTGTTTACATGCGATCCTTTTGGTGAGAATGAGCCACATAATTCACATTTATAGCATTCAGAAAGTACTCTGCATGTGCTTGAGTCAAAAAGCTAGGTTCCTCGTAATGAAAAGAAAACTGGGCACAAACAGACTGAAAACAAACTAAAATCTGTGGAAACAGAATGCCAATGAAATATAAATATAACTATATTATAACTCAGAATTGGCTACATATAATACCAAGATGGTCCTTAGGGGCTAAAAAGTGACATGTTTGATGTTTATTAATTCATTTTCTCAAAGTTAAGCCCAGGCGACAAAACTGAATGCAAATTGAATAAACCTCTCGTGCAATACCTTATCTTGCTCGGTTAATCATCACATTCATTTATAAGCAACATATGCAGCCTTCTAATTTTCAAAAGTTCAAGCATTTGAGATGCAAATCTATAGTAGTAACGTAAGGAAAGAAGGGAAATTTTTCAAAGAATAAATTGATTCACCTGCTTTCTGTAGATTCTGAAGAAGCCAACTCTGTGATCTGCTCCCTTCAAGAAACTTTATATCTGTCTGTAGACAACACGGAATGAAACATCCAGCCCAACTATTTGAATCCCAGTTAAAGCCTGTCAAAACATGAAGTTCTATTTTGTATTTTCTCCCATTCTTTCTCTCCTTCCAGAAGCCAGCTATAATAGAAAAAGTAATGGATAAAGATTAATCACAACTTTCAAAAAAATCGCTGCTTCTGTGTATACCTAGCTGCTCAATATTGGATGACATAATCACAATCTTATATCTCCAGAAGTTTACTCTTGACTCGTGATGAAGCCGTGTGATCCATCATATAGATCTTTGATGTAATATTTCTCTCTCTGTATTATCATGATTCAGTATCTTCTTGAGGCCATTATCATTTGTATCAGTCCAGTACAAACTTTTACACTTTCTCTTGCTTTGTTTAGTATGCAGCGGGTAAACAAGTACACTACAAGCTCTTGTGAGCTCAATTTTGCTTGTTAAGTTCCTTAGGAGAGCATCTTTGGATTTGCATGAATCATAATAATACTATTGAATCTATTGATATTTGATCTCCCAGACTATCCACTACATTATATCTTCACCTTATCTGTTATGAATATTTGTTCCTTTATCTTAACTTGTAAAGAATTTTGGAACGGCTGTTGCCAGGTGTATAGACCCTGGTACATTACTTCATATGGTTGCTCGAAATTCTTGAAGATTGCCAGTCCATTTACCCCTCTTATCAGAAGTTTCCACCACTTGTTCCTTTGTTTTCCTATCGTCGCGATTCATGTCTCCATTTGCAAAGGGATGATGACTCTCCTAGCCCTTGTTCTTTGAACTTTCAGTTCATATCCTCACAAATGGGGCCTTTGGAAACTGAAAATAATGCATGCTTGTATAGAAGGTTGCACACAGTTTCCAGCTAACTATGCCGAAAAATGCCAAAGCAAGCAAAACAGAGCTTCAAAGTATAACATCTTGCTTTTACTTTATGGAGCCAACACCTTAACACTTTATTTCTCTTTAGAAATCAACATTCACCAATCAAAAATTCTTCTTCTATACCAAACCTCTCCATTTGCATCTTGAGAATTTTCAAGATTCTATAAATCTCCTTCCTTTTTGGGTGCCTTTTATCCTTCACCATGAACACGTGCACTTTCCTCTCAATCTCAATCCAGCTGCATCCTGGCTGTTTAACAACTCCCTTCTGCTTCATCATCCTCCTCAATTTCAGAACATCCTCCCACCTCCCTCTCTCAGCATACATGTTAGAGAGCAGAACATAAGATCCCGAATTCTCAAAATCAGTCTTAAACAGCCTCTCTGCTGCCCACTCCCCCATCTTCACATTACCATGAGTTCTACATGAAGCTAGAAATGAACTCCAAATAATCGAATCTGGTTCTATTGGCATCTCCTTTATAAACCTCTCAACTTCTTCTAAGTGTCCTGCTCGTCCAAGTAAATCAACCATACATGCATAATGATCTCTTGATGGAACCAATCCATAGTCCCCAGTCATAGATTTAAAATATTGCCGCCCCTCATCAACTAAGCCAGCATGGCTACATCCAGAGAGAACACCAATCATCGTGACATTATCTGGTTTCTCCTCCGAACTTAGCATTCTCTTAAAGATATTCAATGCCTCAACTCCGCACCCATTTTGTGCATATCCCACAATCATCGCATTCCAAGAAACCCTATCTCTTTGTATCATACTCTCAAACACCTTAACCGCTTCATCGGTGGAGCCATTTTTTAAGTACATATCGACAAGTGAATTTCCAACGAAAATATCGCGTTCTAGTCCATCCCCAAATCGAAACCCATGTTTCAAAACATGCCCGTGTGCTTGCAAGCCAAGCTGAAGATCAGCGAGATTGGCACAGGCATTAAGCACATTGCCAAAAGTGTAATGGGTTGGCCCAATGGATTGCCTCTTCAATTGAAGGAACATTCTGAGTGCCTCTTCATCCTCGCCACTCTGAGTATACCCTGCAATAAGTGCATTCCAAGCGATAATATTCTTCTCCATCATCCCCGAAAGCATCGATCTTGCATCTTTCACCATTGCTGATCTCGCATACCCACTCAGAATTGAAGTCTCGGATACAATGCATCTAACCTGCATCCGGTCAAAAACCATCTTTGCCTCTCTAATTCTACTGCATTTTGCATACATGTCAACCAACGCGTTGCTAAGCACCAAATCATTTCTAAATTTATCGAACTTGATAGTCCGAGCATGTAATTGTGTTCCTTCTCTAATTGCCGCAAGGGTAGCACAAGCGCTAACAACACTAGCAAAAGTCTTTTCATCAGGCTCATTTCCACATTCCATCATACTCACAAACAAGACTAGAGCTTCACTAACAGGCCCATTCTGCTCATAACATGTAATCAAACTATTCCAAGAAACCACATTTTTTTCAGGCATCTCCTCAAATACTCTCTGTGCATCAAACGGACACCTACACTTTGAATACATATCAACAAGCGCACTTCCCATAAACACATCACAAGCCAAAGACAATTTCGAAACCAACCCATGAATCTGAACCCCAGCACTCAAATCCATCAACCCCGCAGACGCACTCAGCGCACTCGACAACGAATACGAATTCATATAAAAATCATCCCCATGCATTGACTCAAAGAAATCAAGGGCTTCCTCGAAGCGGGCATGTTGGGCAAACCCCGAAACCATCGAGCTCCAGGAGCACTGATCCGGGTCCGGCATTGCAAGAAAGAGCTGTCGGGCTTCTTCGAGATTGCCCGCGCGGGTGAACGCAGAGATAACGGCGTTCCAAGAGAACGTGTTTCGTTGGGGAATTGCATCGAACAGTTTGCGGGCGTGTTCGAGGGAGCCGCATTTGGAGTAGGAATCAATGAGGCGGTTGAGGATGAAGGTTTGGGATGAGAAATGGGTTTTGAGGATTTGGGCATGGAGTGCTTGGAGAGAGGTGAGGGATTGGGATTGGGTGCAGGATTGGATGAGGTTGGAGATGGCGAGGTCGGTGAGGGTTTTGAGTTGGGTCGAAAGCTTTGCCATCCCATAGTTAGAGATGGCACAAAGTCTTGGCAATGGAAGTTACAGAAGAGTTTTGATGCTCTCTCTCTCTCTCTCGGCAATGGAAGTTACAGAAGAGTTTTGATGCTCTCTCTCTCTCTCTCTCTCTCTCTCTCTCTCTCAGGCCCCTCCTCTTTTCCTCCCCCAAGAGAAGCCTGAGTATTTTGTAATCAGTTTGGAGGCAATATTAGTTTCTTGGGATTTATTCAACTTAGTCCCCCTTCGTCCTTTTTAATTGTATACTTAACCCTCGGATAATCTTGTTTTAAATAATGATAACTATATTATATGTCCTATTAATTTAAACAAAGGTAAATTACACTAGACCCCATGCATGAACTTTCAGTTTTTTGTAGTAATTAAGAACCCATGAACTTTCAACATCGCACGAACGCTCGATAACTTTTGTAGAAAACCCCCACACTAGACCCCCATGAACTTTCAAAATATTTTTTTATGTTGTTTTTTGATTCTATTTATGGGGTTTATCTGAAAAACTCAGAAACTTCATGGGGTTTTTCTACAATTTTAAAAAGTTATTGGGGGCTTAGTGTGATTTTGAAAGTTCATGGGGTTAACAGCACAACACTAAAAGTTCATGGGGGTTTTAGTGTAATTTACCCTTGAAAAACTTCACTATGAGCCTTACTTTTTTTTCAATAAGAAGAAGGGATATTTACAAACCTTGAACCATGGGCATTTGCAAAAATACCCTCTACATCTCAATATTTACAAACTACCCTCAAATCATCAATTTAGGGGAAAAGATTACCCTCAAAGTAATTAATCATCAACTTTAATAAGATAATTTGTGGTTGCAATGTAAAAATTATCAACAAAATAATTAACTTTTCAACATCAAGTTGATGATTTGTTGATTTTAAGGAATTTTTTTCACAAAGTTGATGATTTGCGGGGTACTTTTGCAAATACTAAGATTTAAGGAGTAGTTTTGCAAATACCCATGATTTAAGGGGTATATATGCAAATAACCCTAAGGAAAAATGTGTGGGGTTCTTGAGCATTCATAACATTTGATACAAATTCATGAAGAAAGTGCCCATATATACTTAAAAAAAATTGTAATATATGGATGTATTTCGTGGTTTTATTGTATAATTGCTAATAAATCTTATTATCATCTGTTAATTAAATAATTAATGCTATTGTAACCATCATATTCATAAAATTGGGATTCTTACACGACTTGGGTGAATGCCAACAATTTTTGTGTCGGGAAACAAAATTATTATTGTACACATCCTATTCATAAGATTAGAATTTTATTTATTTATCTTGTCTCTTGCTAATCGAACCAAATTATTTTGTACCCAGTGACATTGCAAATGAATTAATGTAAGAATTCTTCTAACATTCTTCGGATTTTTCAAGTTAAGTATCATGAAAACATAGTTAAGGATGACTATAAATAGTATAACTAATACCCAAAACCTAACATTATTGTATGTGCAAATTAATGCACATGCAATAGAAATATAGTTTTCACTTTTTAACATGAATAACGTATTGTTAGTTTTTGCAATATCTTTTAAAAAGTTTATTCACTTTATATGCTATATTTTATTTACCTTATTTGAAACATATTATGACAAAAAATTCAATTTGATGATGTCATTTTCCTAATAATGTTATTTAGAAGAATTTTTTTTCCATATTTTATATTTAAATTATTATATTTATTTATTTTTAGTCTAAGTTTCGAGATATATACTTGTGATAATGAAATTCTAATTGTTGTTTTATTATAAAGAAAGAACAAAGTACTCGCCATCGGGGAAAAAAGAAGAAGAAGAAAGTACTCCCACAAAATTATCGTTATACCCTTCCAAATGTAAAAGAATGTAGGAAATGTGACAAATGTCCACTTGTCATCTATATTTTTCCTACCCCCATTATTTTCATTATATAGTGGTATACATTGGCGGGTTCATAGTGGGGACAATAGGGTCATGTTGATGTTAGTTATCAAATATGGGGTTTATGTGGGTGTTAGGTCCTCAAACTCCTTTAGATGGCAGGTTATGGCAGAGTTGAGATCTCCGGTTGTTCCTCCGACGATCAAGTCAGTAATTGATCTTGAGTGGGAAATATAGAGATGGGGCAATTCAAAGTTGCATGAAAAAACCAGTGAGCTTACCTCATGCAATGCCGCTCTCTTTTATAGTGGATTGGAAGGGCAAAGAGGTCAATTTAGGCCAGGTCCAGCTAGGTAGCTTAGTCAGCAATCATCTTCCAGATGTTGGCTACGGAAGAGGGTGAGTCATCTAGTCATTGAATGAGGGAATGACAGCATGTGTTTGGTGCTGATTGGGTCCGATGTGTCACAAAGACTATGGAGGCTAGAGTAATGATGATTTGTCAAAGCAGTTAATGCAAGTTGTCGGCTGAACAGTAGGCTGAGTACGGGTCGATTTGGTGGGTTGGCCGACAAGTACCGCTTTTTGACTCAGCTACGCAAGTTGTTTGCCGATCGAGTTGGCTGCAGAAATGGCTTGAGTCGTCTAGGCTAGGGATTTATTTGATTACGTGCAGAGACACGTGTCAGCATCTCAATGAAAATTAATAGTTAGTGATTTTTGGGTCGTAACAGGTCAAGTGCACCCACCGATCCTTACGAAACTATATTTAATATTTGATTCAAGATTCTGCAATTACCCCCACGCTCTTTCAGCCTATTAAACCAAATCCTCATATCTTAATAAATGCTAAATGGGACAAAACCCAACCCATTTACCCACTTTTCATTACCCTATCTCTAGATAACCATTGTAATTTCTATCAAATTCAACTGAATTCCCTTCACTATCTTTTGTAATTGTGTCTTTGCTCTGTTGCAACGAGTGTCATTCGATGGCATCAATTCCTCCTTCCAATCACAAACCCTCCTCCCGCTAGACCGTTGAACCACACTCGATATCAAGGATTGAGCAAACTTCCTCATACACAATTGTTTACCGTAAAAAATATAAAAATGCGGTAGGAACCATTATAGAGAATTTCTAATATAACACTTTTATTGGCTATAAAGTATATATTGTTTGTACGTTTAATACAATGCATATTTGATGTCATAACATTTTAGGTATAAATATCACACGCTAGTTATACTTGTAGTCTTGCCCCCCGTGACTAAAGTTTGTGGATCCGCCCCTGGTGGTATAGATAGATCCGCAATTTACCCCTCCTTTTATGATGACTAAAATTATACCATCATAATGGCCTTTCCTTTCGATTTCCACCACTAAACCATGGAGCTCCAATCACTTTCACCTTCACCTCAAGAAAGTTAATCTTTTCTAAAGAGAAGTCCTATTATATTATATAAAGTAGGATACTTTGTGTTATTTAGTGATAACAAATAAAGAGATACCCGTCAATTTGAACGGTTATGGGCGCCAGCTTTTTGTTTAAACGACAATGTGACAGTTTCACTGCTCTCTCCTTATTCACTATTTACCAAAATGATGATGATGATGATATTTTTGGTGTTCGTCCTGATTTGTCCTAATTATTTGTTGCATCTGAATCCCTAACAACGAGGTTAATTATTGGACGCATCAAATTCTTGCGAGCAATTCAAGCTATAAAGAATCTCGTCCGTTCGTCTGGTCTCCAAGACATTCTTGAATCAAGTGCTAACAGCAACTCCATGGCCTGATCTACTGATAGTACTCCTGTTTCTTTTGTATATGCATAACAGTTTTTGGTCAGTTTTTTCTATTTTGCTTTTTCTTGGTTTTGGGCTTCAGTTGGTTCTGTTTTTGGGTTTTTTTCTTAAGACATCTTCTAATGAATGGGCCAAGATGCCTCATTCATAAGAAGATATCTTCTTTTGTAACCTGAACTTTTGGTATAGTTTATACATACTGATAGGGAAAAGCCCTATTTTCCTTCAAAAAAAAAATAATAATTCTTGCGGGCTGGTTTGAGCCGCTCGTTTATCTCTAGCCAATGGAGCCACATTGCAATGGGATCGTGTTTAGGAATTGTTCTAGGATTCTTATGACTCGTCAAAGTTTTAAGTATGGCGAAAATCTTGCTAGCTAGGTACTAATCCTATAGCAAGATACCGAAATGTCTGATGTTTAGAATGTCAGTTTCTCATGGGCGTTGCCTAATGCGACGTTGTTTTCAGGTCGTCGCTGATCGTGACCGCAATGGGGTCCGTTGGCGGATCCATCTGTACCGAAGTGAAGTCACGTGACCCCACTTTAGTTGAGGAATAATAAGACCCCACCCATTTAAAACTTGCCGCTTAAAACTATTTTGTGTATTTTGTTTTGAAGGTGGCGCTGATTTTGTATGTGGCTAAGGTAACCGTCTAAAGAGTCTTTTACACGGTGAAGTTGATAAAGAGTAGGTTGAGGATAACCCAAGTGATGATTAGCTCAGTGATTGCTTGCAGATATTATATATTGAGAGAGATGTACTTGATAGTGTTACCGAGGAGAATTTTTTTTTAAAAAGACGTTTTTTTTAAATTATTAGCAAACTCGACCGTTTGTGAATTAACTAACAAAATCGACCTCTTTTCAGCCACATCATCACGGCTGGCCAAAAAGAGGTTGGTTTTGCAAAATACAATATTTAAAATACACATGACTAGTAGCCCCCTGTATTTAGCAATCAATAATCACAGGTTAGTAATCCCGTGTATATTTAAAAGAATAAGATTAATTCACAAGTAGAGGTTAGTAGTATTTAGCAGTCAATAAAAACAGGTTAGTAGTGTTTAGCAGTCAATAATCACAGGTTAGTAGTCTCGACGCCTAGAATTGTAAGCAAGTAGAGGGATAAGGGCTCTTTAGATTATTTTTTTTAAAAAATATCATAAGATAAAAACTGATTTAGTAGGACTCGATCTAGTAGCAATTTCAAATTTGCGTTCCTCCTTTCCGTAAGATAAAAACTATGAGATGTTTATTCTCTCCTCGATATTGCTGGTTTGTTACTTCTTCACCCCTAGAAAAAAGGATCAAATAAACTTTTTCTCATGGTTTTTTTTTTCATTCTATTCGGTTTGGTAAAAAAAAATGTCGACATTAAGGGTTCGTTTGGTTGGTTTATTTTGAATAGAAAAGCTGTCACATGTGTCCCATCTGTGGCAGCTTTCAGACAAAATCGTCTCTTTTAGAGGCGATTTTGCCTAAAAGCTGCCACAGATGGGACATTTGTGGACTTCCCCCCTCAAAAACAGGCAACCAAACGAGCCCTAAGGGCCTGACCTCTCTCGACTCGATGGAAGTTGTCCTAACCAGCAGCTTGGTCCAAGTAGATCGATTTCAGCCTAGGTACAAAGTTGACCTGGCATTTCATTATAAGAAAAATGAGGCGTACGTTGTTAGAAATTAAGCAATCGATAGGATCTCGAAAGAAAGAAAAAAATGCTAGTTTAGAGGCTGACAGATCGTCGATGAGGCCTAACACTAATTGAAATGAGTGCACTTCACGAGGTCGTCTAGCGTCGTTCATCTCCTTCGCTAGCTTTCCCCGTCTCACTCCATGACACTGTCATTTGACTCGTTATCCCGAAATTAGTTCCTTGATGCTCTTTTCTTTCTGTTTTTTTTTTTTTTCACGTTCGTAGGATCATCATTACTCCTTTGAAATATAAACAAAACCTTCCAATCCTTGAGGAGGTAGTGCTTCTCAGTATCAAATATGTCTTAAAGGATCTAATTAGTTAGGCGCAAGTATATATGTATGGAAAAATTTGCAAAATAGCTCTGTTTTGCTAAATATTTAGAAAAATAGACATCGATTTTGCTAAACAGACTATTCGAAACATACGGGACTAGTAGTCCCGTATGACTTAAGTGTTGGCAAAAAAGATGTCTGTTTTGCTAAATATTTTAGCAAAACGGTCTGTTTTGCTAAATATTTAGCAAAACAAGTCTATTTTGCAAATTTCTTCTATATATATTCTTTCACAATATGAGCATAGTTTCCCATATATCCTGTCAACGGGACATTCGATCGATGTCCGGTGCCCAATATGCCGTTGTTATATTTGGTCCGAGCATCGTCGATCGAGCAACTCTCAGTGAAACACACGGCGAAGAATTATATATATTATGCACACGTTAGTATCGTAAACACTACAAAATTTCAAATAGAGTATGCCCATCTCGCGATCCATTAGAGAGAAAATAGCGAGGGTCGACGTACGTGTTACATCACAAACGCCATCCTCCAATGGCGGCGCGCGGAGTTTTCTCTAATGATGGCATGCGTACAAAAACCTGCAGGCTCGATCTGGATAGACACTCCTAGTTCGATTGTTGCAGATAGAACCCATGAGTGATAATTCTTTGACTCTATTACCCTCCCCGAAGGTCTATTCGAGTCAAAAAAAAGAAACAATTTTCTTCCTCTGAGGGTAAAAGAGTCCGGCTCAGTGGGTCTATCCGCATGAATAGAACTGCAGGGGGGTCTGCCCGCAATTTAACCCGGCCCCCCTCTAATCCTTAGAGACAACTTGAGAGATGTGTAATTTACATCACACATACATCATCAAAGGGTCCCAAACAAGGGTACCCCTAAAACCCTTTAAGATTTGGTGCCCCACGTGTACAAGTATTGATACCCACCTTTCCTTTTAATTTCTTTCGAAGGATTCCCCCCCTCTTGATGATGTCCAGTTATAAAGCAGCAGTGTTTAGAGTACACAGGAAATAGAAGCAGAGAGAGAGAGAGAGAGAGAGAGAGAGAGAGAGGAGAATGATGTGTTTGGGGCTTGCACTTATGTAATCATTGCAGGATGTTTGAGGATTCATAGCATCACACATGCACTCTTCGATCGTTATATAGAAATGGTATGCGTGTAGGTGGCTTTATTTGCAAGCTATGCTCTCCTCCTTTGCCACCGCATCATGCTACATCGGATTGGAGATTGGAGCATGTTATTATTATTGGTGTTAGTGTGATGGTTGTAGAGGGTGATGAAATTATGCGGTCGGCATGATGTCATAAATGCATACCGCAAGGTGCCAGCTCCTAGGTTTATTTATTTTTCGGTTCAAGTTTAGTAACATAATATTTACATCCATTTTTAGCTATTATGCTAATCAATCTTTTGTTATGAAAGAAAATTTCATAACAAAAGCATTCTAGGAAAGCGAAATAGACTAACTAGTACAATGCTTCTCTTGGCAGAAATTCCAAATATGTTGCGAGAGTGACATGAAATAAAGTAGTGCTCTTGTCAATTTTCTCCTGATTTTCTTATATATACTTTCTCAAAGTCTTCTCTGCTTTATAGCATATAAGAAATGATAGTTCATATCAGAAGGCAACTTGTTAGGCCCATAATCTCATTTCCTCTTGAGTCATGTCCCTAACATTTATTCATGCCATGAAGTGATCTTTATACTATCGCGAGTGGAGAATTGGCCTTGAAATAGATTGATGAGGGTACCCTTTTGGTTCTTATATAAACTCATACGAACTTTTTGTAGGCTTTAAAACTTAGATATTATTGGTGCATCAATGAACTATATATTTAGTAGTGCATGTGAACATATACAAATGTGGACATCAGCGTCGTAGTTAGGCAGAGATAATGACAGTATCTGTTATAGTTCCACTTAAGAGAAAGGAAAATAAAAGAGGCATCATACTCGAAAGTCATAAAGTTGTACTTCATGATTCATTTTTGAAAACTTATGAAACTAGGTTAGATCATAGGTACAGGTGTTGGTTATGTATCTTTTGATGATTGGTCATACTGTTTCTCAATGGGAAACCCCTTGTTTTTTAGAAGCAATATGGTTACTCTTCCCAATAATATTGTGAGGATTTTAGCTGACATGGTCATCAAATATATTTTGAAGCTATATTGCCAATTTTTAATCAAGAGATCTATGAATTGTTAATTAATTTCCAATCTAATTATTGGATTTGTTATGACTGCTTTGATGCAATTGCTTCGTTATATAATCTCATTAATGAAAATGAGTGTTTTATTTCTTCACGAAAAGTTTGTTTCTCTCTTTTCTTATTTCTGCCATTTACCTTGCTTTTATTTTTTTTTTAATAATTTTGTATAATGTCTATATATATGGTTAAGATGTAAGCATCCGCTAGTACTGTGGCTGATTAAGGAAAAAGTGTAAAGGTGCAAACATCTCACATCAAAGTTAATGGTGCAAACAAATATTGACGGTTGGATGCATGCCTTATTAGACATTAATCTTTGATAAATATGGATATCCTCCAATTGAAATGTGTGTATACATAATAATGTCACATGCACGTTGGTAAGGGCTAATATCCAACTATGATTCATCATATATCCAAGTTTTAGTTCATCTTATCCAATGTGAACTGAGTTTTGATATCCTTAATTAGATTTGCATCAACTAGGAAGATTAACGTATAGTACGTAGTTATGTCCATATCTTTGCCATTAAACGCAATGCTACACTTCACATTCTTGCAAATAGACTCAGATAATTCGTAGCATCCTTCTCTCTCAGTGGAATCTATAAGTGCAAATTTACTGGCATATATACATTTCTCACTGCATACAGCCTGAGTGCATACATACATAAGAGAGTGAATTTATCAGTCACCCTACGCAATTATGCATCCATCTTCCAAGCCTCCATGCCTCCACTTTTTAAACTTAAAAGCTCCACCCCCTGCTCAAAATCACCCTTGACCCTCACGTCTCTCAAACGCTATAAATTCCAAAGCAAGCACATCAAAACCATAAACCTTGCATCTTCTCTTCTCATTTCCACCGCTTCCATCGATCACCCCGCACGCGCTCAGACATGGGAGATTACGACGCTGACCTTCCGCCAGGCTTTCGATTCTTCCCCTCCGATGAAGAGCTCGTGGTCCACTTCCTCCGTCGCAAGGCCTCCCACCTCCCTTGCCAACCCAACATCATTCCTACTCTCGATCTCCATCTCTTCGACCCATGGGATCTCAACGGTAAAGTAAAAAAAAAAAATTTGAACATCAGATGACAGTTCATTTTGCTAAATGAGCTACGTACCAGATGGTGAGATATCAAATTACTACGCTCATCTCACTAATACGGAATTTTATTGGCATTAGGTAACGCGCTACAAGGAGGCAACCAAGTGTGGTACTTCTTCTCGCGCAATGCTCAGCACAGAGCCACACCAAGCGGCTGCTGGAGCCCTGTAGGCATCAGTGAGAACATAACAAACGGTGATCAGCATGTTGGCGTGAAGAAAACCCTAGTTTTCTTCTTCGGCGAGAACAAAACTAACTGGGTAATGCATGAATACCATCTACTCGATGCCATTAATGCTAGTACTAGTAACACTAGGAGGTCTTCTTCCAAGAAGAGATCGAATCCAAGAACAGTGAGTAGTGCTAGCTCTACGTACTATCTATTGATTTCATCTCATTTTCCTTATGTAACTTGTGCTTATGATCGAATGTATAGGAGACTAACAAATGGATTATATGTCGAGTGTATGATTCATCCTGTGGATCGCAGTCGAGCTTCCAAGATGGCGGGAGGGAGCTCTCGTGCTTGGATGAAGTCTTCTTATCGTTCGACGATCTCGATGAAGTGAGCCTGCCAGATTAATTAGCAAATGTGTATCCATGATATATAAATGATCAAATAATGAACTGGCCTTATAAAGCTGACATTATACTTAATTGTTCAATATAAAGCCTCAAATTAATGTCTCTACTAGCTATATATATAATATATATATATATTATATATATATATATATATATATATATGTTAACAAAGTGTAAGCTTAAAGTTCCCACCGTGTTCATCTGTTTGGGCTCCACAAGACACGCTGCACTGCAATGGGGTTTTTGTGATTGTGTTCATGGCGAAAGCCAAAGTCAAATGACATTTTGCTAGCTGTGTTAATTATTTGTTGCTTATTTGATTTAAGAAGAAGGAGGATGTTTTGGTGGAGCTCAGCAAGCATGTCGTTGTCTATTGCGGTCAGAGGGGGGGGGGGGGGGGAGGGGGGGGGGGGGGGGGGGGGGGGGGTTGCACGTGCGGGGAGCACGCGTGAGGGGGTTTTGGTTGCAAATGGTTGTGAGGAGCAAGTGGAGGCGATTTGGACAAATGAAAGTTACTACGAGGACCCCACGATAATTTTGATAGAAAGGGCCGGGTGTGCTCGATCTACTAAGTGCTGGATTGATTATCTAGTAATTAACACTCCCATTAAGAGGAGCTATATATGTACAGTAAAGATTGTTGTGGATTAATTGAACTGGGGCCATACCTAATAATTTTGTCACTCTTATTTGATTTTAAGGGTTTTTGCTTTTAGAACCATTTGTTTACTCCCATTTATCTTTAAACCTAAGTACTATTATTTCTATCTTTAAGCCTAATTCACCTTTTGTATTTATCTTTAAACTCAATCTTCAAAATACTATATTTTCACCACTTGTTTTTATATTTTGAAGATTGGGTTTAAAGATAAATACAAAAGGTGAATTGGACTTAAAGATAGAAATAATAGTACTTGGGTTTAAAGATAAATGAGAGTAAACAAATGGGTCTAAAAGCAAAAACCCCTTGATTTTATGGGTTAGATTTTGTTAGGGCAGGATTGGCAGATTTCCATGTTTTGTCACAATTTTAAATGAATATTTACTCATAAAAAAGATATTTCTCAGCTCATACCCTTGTTTCATGGAATTTAAGATTCGAGTCTCAGTCTATCATAATCGATGATATCGTCGGTCTCATTCTAGCACTATTATCACCATTATCGCCGTAATCTGGCACGATTTGACACCTGCCGTCGTATATGAATTTTTAATGTAAATTCTTAGATAATATGCAGAATTGTCAAAAACATGAGCTTTGCTACAAAGACCCAAAATATGGGACCAATAGAACGGACAAGTGAGGTGTCTCCCTCCTATTGGATAATGAGTTAATCATCATTAATGATGGCCAACTCATTATCCAATAAAAGGGAGACACCTCACTTGTCCCCTCTATTAGTCTCATATTTTAGGTACTTAAGGAATTTTTCTAAAAACATTTATCGTGGGGCACGAGTTTCTTAGATATAACCAGTTTGCTTCGCACTTGCCGCGCACGTGCGAGAAAAATTAATAGCAATAGCTTTTGAAAAATAATTACTATAAAGTATATAAAAAAAATAAGGGAACACGTCTGCAGAGATGAAACACCTAATTTGTCACTTTTTTCTGGTATGTCCTTTTTTTCTCAAGTTGCGATTTAATAAAAAAATGATTTAATTGCTTTGAGAATCTATATTCAAATAAAAAATGATTACTTTACAATAACTTAATAAGTTTCGGTTGTGTTGATGTTAAATGATCACACAGTCAATTAAAATGCTTGGATGATGGTAAGATTGATGAGGGGTCACTTCCTTCCCCGAATATCCGATGAGTTAAGTGGTTGAAACCTGCACATATAGAAACCTGTGAGAGGACGACGACTGGTTCCCTCGTAGTTCCTCGGATAATCAAGTCAACTGGTGAACTTGAGTGAGAAAAGTGAAGAACTGTAAGAGTTCTTGTGTGTAGTAGAATTTGCAGATGTAGCTCAGAAATAGCGTACCTTGGTATTTAGAATAGTGCCCCTATTTATACTGGTGGTATTAGGGGTAGAACCGTCATTGTAGCCGAACACAGGATGGTGGTGAAGAAGCACGGGTTGGTGGCTGAGTCAACTCCTGCTTTACAAGTGTCGGCTGACGACTGGATGAGAGATCATCTCAGGATTAAATGTGAAGCGATCTGAGGAATGGTGGTGCCGACGTGATCTGATGAGTCATGAAGGCTATCGGAGCTAGAGGTATGACGACGTCTGTCATGCGTTAAATGCGATGTCGACGTTGTGTTAGCGGGAGAGGCTCGAGGCTGAAATCGTCTACTAGCTTCGCCGAAAAGTAATGCCTTTCGAGTCGTCTTCGTGAGGCATCGAATAATTGGTCAAATGAGCTTGTAGCGAGTCATCTTTGACAAGAGGGCTGACAAGTACCGTCATTCGAGTCGACATGAAGGAATGTCGACTCGGCGAGTCGATTGAGTTGGAATCCTTGTTGGTCTTGGGCTGTCAATTTGATTGGGGCATTGCATACAGAAGTACACATGTCCGTTGCTGGTGAAAGGGTTACACTTTGGTGATTGAGAAAACCATAACAATTGGTCCCTTTCGCTTGGAGTCAGCTTTAGCCGGGTCCGAGTGAAATGAGAATCACTTTGATCTGATTTTACTGAGAGAACAAGTGTGGATTGTTGTGAGTCGGTCGTGTTGGGATGACCCGAGTATTGAGGGATTGAGACGATTGGCTCATTTTACGCCTTATGTTGGTGAGATGTCTGGGTCTTATTGTCGAAGAAGACAAGAAAGTTCGAGTGCCTAGGGATTATTAATGACACCTAGGTCTTTTCGGCAAAGTGATAACCCTGAGATTGGGTGCCCAGGACTTAGGTAGATGCCTGGGATTTTGGCAAAACGACAACCCTGAGGTTGAATGCTCAGGACAAAATTGGGGCTTTTCGGCATATGACAACCCTGAGGTTGGCCCTGGATGAAACTAGGGCTTTGACAAAATGATAACCCTAAAGTTGAGTGCCCAGGATGAAACTGGGGTTTTTCAGCAAATGACAATCTTGAGGTTGGGTGCCCAGGACTTATGTAGACGCTTGGGTCTTTTGGCCATGTCATAATGGTCGAGTGGTAACTGTGGGAGTCGACCATATGGTGAGTGTGCCTTGGGTTTTACCCTGAGAAGGCACCAAAGGCTTAAAATTCCTACATAGATTGGGCACTACAGGAGTGCGAAATAGGAGTCAAGTCAGTTTCAATAATAATTCCATTAATACTAAATGAAATTTATAGAATTATTGAAAATATCTCCTCAAGTGCTCAACATTCCAGGGATGTTAAAGGACTCTCCTGTCTAGGGCTTAGCCAATATGTGCATGCTCGCAGTTCTTCTAAGACTGTGTACGGGCCTTCCCAGTTAGGAGCTAGCTTGCCTCTTCGGACGTCTTTGTCGAAAGCAGCTTTGCGGAGGACAAGGTCGCTAGCGTTGAATCTCCTTGGTCGGATCTTGCTGTTGTAGTAGCAGGCAATCCGTTATTGATTTGTGACCCGGAATCGGAGCGCCTTCTCTCAGGTCTCGTCTAGGAGATCGATGAAAACACCCTAGAGGGGGAGAGGGGGTGAATAGGGTTTATACTAATCTAATATTGATTTTATGCTAATTAAAAACTTTCTTGATTTATTAATTCTTGCAAGAGATATATGAATGAGTTATGAGCAAGAATGTAAAATACAAGCACAAAATATACGCAAAGCAAACCCAAACACAAGATATGTTCACGGAGTTTGGTCAACCCTTGACCTACGTCTTCGCTCCCCAACTCGAAGAGATCTCCACTATCGACACACCCGGTTTGGAAGCTAGAACTTCTCTACACACCCAGTTTTCTAGTTCACCGAGAACTCTACAAGTTACTCACAATGTACAAACACAAACAACAACCTCAAGTGTTGGTCCTCATGTATCGCCTCCATCAAGTGCTCGGCTTTACTATCTCTCTCTAGACTTTACTACCGACGTCACTCCTCTTGGTATCGACTACATCCTCACCACACACTCATCTCGGTGTAAATGTGTAATACAAAGTGATACTCATAAATTTGGCTCAAATACAATAATTTGTTCCCTAACAATGATTGAGAATACAATGAAGCTCACTCTCACTAAATCACTCACCACAACCCAACAATATATTGTATGAATAATATTAAAAGCTCAAGTATGATGTGAGTGATAAAAGAGAACAATAAAATTCTAATTCAATTAAAACTAGCTAGGATATAAATATAAAAACCAAATAATGAATAAGCTATATAAAAGAGTTAGAAATTTTCTCTACAAACACAAAGAGCTGTAGATATAATGATGAGGATGAATTCCTCAGTTGAAATTAAAAAGCTTCCTCATTGTGAAAAACTCTTCTTTTGAAACAAAACTTAAAACAATGCTTAAACACAAACTAAACTCTTTCAAAACTTGATTAAACAATTTTCTTAGTTGGTTGGAGAATTGAATGTAGAGGAGTATTTATAATAGCCCAAGATATCAGCTCAAGACCAACCAAAAAGACCAAAAAAAACATTTGAAGACAAGACTGGAATATAGTCGTTACAGTGTTATAAGTCGACTTACGTTGTTTATAAGTCGACTTATAAACTAGCCGTTACAGGCTCAGACCTCACACATAAGTCGACTTACGGGAATCATAAGTCGACTTGCTATTGTTTGCGTCAAAAGTTGGTTTTGTTATGGAATTCATTATATCTTTGGTCGATTACAACAAATTCAAAAGAGATAGTCTTTTTATAAGACTTCTTTTACACAACAAAAGGAAAATTATAACTTTTTAGAAACAAACGCAGGATCGTTGTTTGGATCGCTGCTTGCGTGGGATCTTTGCCTGTGCCGGGAGCGCTTTGACTCGTGGACCACCAAATCACAGATTCTGATTGAACCGTGAGGGGTTTAATGATTCTTCCTTCGTTTATCGAAGTAAGAATTTGAAGCGAATATCTTATCGATGTAAGATGTTCACTCTTCTAAAGATCAAGTCAGAGCTTAGATCTCTAGGAATC